CTGATGCTCTGGCATGAGGCGGTGCTGCCTGTGAGAAACATGTCTCTCCTCCAATCAGCACTGATGCTCTGGCATGAGGCGGTGCTGCCTGTGAGGAGCATGCCTCTCCTCCAATCAGCACTGATTCTCTGGCATGTGGGGCAGGTGCAGCCTGTGACATGTTAAAAGACAAGGTGGACAGGCTGGAGGGGTCTGCTTCCTCACTCTGTACACAATACTGAAGGCTTGAAGCTGCCAGCAAAGATGTGAATAACACCCAGTTGACTACTGGCTGGCTCTTCCAGTTTAAAAACAAACACATCACTAACACATCAACATCTGAATACTGGAGATAAGGTCTCATAATTCTTGACATGGCAAATAATTAGATGCCTACAGCAGATTTAATACAGTGGGTATTTGATCTTATAAACCTGTCCTTGTCATTGTCTGTGATTACAAACTGATGTTCATATATTCTGTTGTGGCAAAAGGCACTATGTGACCTAAACAGTTCTCATTCTGTATTTCCTTGTAAAAAGCAGATTGTTTTTAATGCCTTCATTTATCGTTTGATTTGAAATGACAAGTATTCTATATTTTTGTTTGTTATTTTATATGGCAACATAAATGTAATTCTAAGCATTTTTTTAAATGAAGAACTAAACTGCTGGAAATGCATGGCATGAAAAGTCTTGTGTGTCATTTTTTATTTACTCGTTCATTCAGTGTGATTTTTCTTTTTGTTGTTTTACATTCCATGTTATCCATCATATTAGATTATAAATAAGTACCGTCAGCTTTCACAGGTTTTGTAGCTGACAAACTGTCTACAAGCCATTAATTCAGCATGGCCCACCCTTCAGTTTCTTTAGAACTTGCAGCATAGGTGCAATCTAAGAACCTCGAATAAGAAATGAACCTGTTGGTGCAGAACGATCCCACAGACATGTGCACCAAGCAGTCCAAACCCACTTCCTGTGGGCAGTGTTTCAGGGGTCTCAACACTGGGAATCATTTTGCCCCCAGGTGTGCCCATTCTGTACTGTCCCCTCCTTGTTAAGAACACGAGACACAGTTGCTCATTTGATTGCGAGTGACTTTTCGTTTCAAGATTTCTCTCTGATCCTTTCTTAAATAATGTTCCAGCAACAGCCTCAACTCCATGGGCCTGAGAGTTGGTTCCAGCACCCCCCACAATCCCTCCGTGAAAAGGACAGTCTCCTGTTTTCAGTCTCAAATGTCCTGAACTTCATTTCCAACTGTGTCCCTGGGTCCTTGCGATGCTGATGATCTTAAGGAGGTTCCCTGAGCTGACTCAGTTCTTTACACCTTTGCTTTAGACAAGCAGTTCCTCTGGCTGCTCTCCCTTGTTCTGCCTCTAGGGGCAGCAACACCTGTCTTGTAACCAAAACCACATTTTACAATGAAGACCCTTGATTCCAGTTCAACACACTTAACATTGTACCCCAGGATTTGGGGCGCTGCAGAAGCGCCCGTCATCTGTTTTTGTCGTTCGTGACAAACGACGTTAAGTGCATTTGATCATTTTACTAACCTTTCTCCTTTTTTTCCCTTTTTCCCCTGCTTCTGGACGCAGTGCTGAACAAGCCTGTGCAGCATGGGGACGGGCGGTGCCCAGGGCCTCCCAGACCCCAGCCCCCGCGGCCACGAGGACAGCCTGGTTCCAGCCAGGCGAGCGCAGGGCGGTCAGCGGCGGAGTGGGGCGGCATCCTGCTCACACGGCCCTGTAGGAAAGCAAAGCAGGAATGAAGAAACTTCCAAAGCCTCTGCCTGCGGTTTGAGCACACCACTCCGAAAATCAATTTCCCTGCCTGGATTTGTCTTTTCTAAGAGCTCCTCGTGATAAAAAAAGGCCGACGGAACTGGGCTCAGGGAAATGAAATGAATCAGGGAAAACACAGATGCGAGCCCAAAACATTCCAGTCCTTTTATTTTCTTGTTGCACAAGACAAGTTGTAACTAGTATTCCTTACGTGAGCCTGCCTCAATGGCTGCGTGCTAAAAGGGCTGCACTGAGTAGAAAATGGATAGATGTGTGTTTGTCTGGTTTGATAGTATTTTGGTCCAAAGCAGTTTACTGTACCGTGCTTGGCTGGAGCTGGAGAAGCTGGTCTTGGCTCATATTCCAGCAACGTTGTGCCCAATGCCGTCGTACCTCTGCTAAACATGTGAGGAAAAATGATAGGAATAACTGCGCTGATGAAAAACAGTTTTATTTGAAAAAGGGTTAAGAAAACAGGGAGTCAGCACAGCAATTGAAATAGCAGGGTCAGGAACTGGTCTGCACACTGCACTGGCCCGCAGTGTCCTTCGGGAACAGGAGGTGCTTTCAAACTTCTTGTGTTGAGCTTTGGAAACAAATGTACAGAATCAACCGTGTGTTCAGAGGGTAGCAATTCAGTCAAAACAAAGTGTAAAACATAACAGAAGAGTCACAAGAGATTGTGAAGTAGTCCAGATTGTTTAAAATGCTGGCATTCGGAAATGCACGTTTCATTATGAAAATGACGAAGAGCTCCATCTCTTCTTCTGTTTATTATGTACTGCTGCAGGCACTTTAAATGTGGACTTCTGAAGAATAACAGTGGCAGAGAATCCTGTATCTCGTGATGTCTCTGGGTTGGTGGGTGTGATTGTCGTGCAGTGTGTGCGTGCTTGTGCGTGTAGATATTTTTTGTATTCTCTTTCCTAAGAGTAGGTGGCGGAAGATAAAAGTCACGGCGCCACTTTTCGAAGGGAAAAAAGAAACATTGCCCTTTTCCGCAAGGCTTTGCTGATCTGCAAGGCTGAAGAGGCCGGATTGATGCGAAACCTACATATTTGGCTTACAAAGCAAGCAGAGTAAAGGATAATATTTCATTGGACGTGGTACATTTTGGTGTAAAGTGCTTAGGGTGTGCAGTTAAGTGGATATTACTTTAATGATCGTGAAATAAATGTTTATTGCAGCCTTTGCCGTGGAGAGCAGAATGACTGAGGTTACGCTTGAAATAAATTCAAAGTATTGCTGCTATCTGGCTGAAAAGCTAGTCCACCTGGACAACTGTCTCTTAACGAGAAATCTCTACTTTTCCTATCAATGATGTTGACGACACCCATGTGCAGGTATTTCTCCTTTTCCTGAGGACTGGCTGACAGGGAAAGTCCTGTATGGAGGATTACAGTCCGATGCCATTATAGGTTATAGATGCTGAAAGCCAATCACTGTAGCTACTTCCCTGCAACTCTTTTCAGCATGATGCAGACCCAGGATCTATCTGCCTGTAGTTCTGTGAAGTGCTTGCTAAGAGCTGCTCAGCAGTTCTTTAGGTTCTGCCGTCTGTGCTTCTCTTTCATCCTGTTTCTGTTCAAAAGGCAATTTAGTGCCATTTTAACATGAACTAGAATGAACGGCTCTGTTACGGACTGAGAACAACAAGCTGTTGAGAAGAAAAGCTGCTGTTAGCACATGCAATGTTGTTTTAATTGTGATTTTGTCTGGTGTAAAGTGTACATGCTCTATCTGCCTCAGAACTATATTTGCATCTAAAACTGACAGCACATTTGTTGGCGTTGCTAAACAATGCAACGTTTTTTTTTTATGAAACGATGTTTTGTACCAGTTTGCTTAAATAAAAGTTCTTATTTAAAATGTCAAGTAATTGTAGTTTTTCAACCTCGATCCCCCCAAAAAAAAATCATATTCATGGTAAGTTTTTCGCAGATTCATTAAGATACACATCCGGGCTGAAAGCTGATATTGCACACTTATCACGATAAAGAAACACTGTTGTTGTCAATGTGCACAACCAATGCATTCGTCCATGACCACTGACATTTAAATACACATCATAAACGTGCACCTACAGTACACTACACACTGGACTCACCTAGGTGATCAGTAGCCTCACACTGCACATTTCACATTTGTGTGTTGAGATTTTCCTGCGACTCTGGCAGCCCAGCGGATATCGAGCTTCAGTGATCCAGGACCTTCAACATTTCCTTCCCCTTGTCCGTACATTGGGTCTTTCTTCGTTTGTTCACTAGGTGGCGCTCAAATGCCATGGTTCAGCGCCAGTCGGGGAAACTAGTTAAGCAGTGTTAAGCTACGTATTTTGAAATTTAGAATCAATGCAACGTCCAAAGGCACAAAATAAAAAAGTGTTATGCACCCTTCCACAAAAAAAAAATGTCTGTGCATTATATTCCATTTGTGTATTGCAGTGGTAGATCTGTGTATTTTGTACTGGATGTTCAACACACAGATCTTCCATTGAAATACACAACCGGAATATTGTGTAACTGGTTCTCCACGGTATACTGTGAAGTGACGTTTTGGTGGAGTATGAGTTAGAGGAGCAGAGAGACCTCCGCGTTATCTCTATCGTGTAATTTTGTGTTACCAGTCTGCCTAGACGATCTCTGGGGCCCGTGAGTACAGTAAGTGCCTCTGAAAGAGGAACAGAAATGTTTGGGCTGCCAGCGAGCTGTCGGCTACTCAAAGCCGAGAGCCGTCGGTCTCCAAAGATACTTCAGCCCCCCTGGACGTCTCCCGACGAGCTCTCCGCTCGTCCAGGAAACGTGTTTCTGGCAGAAGAGCTGCACAGGGTTGATGCAGGCTAATGCCCAGCAGGCCCCAGCTTCCGCCTGTGAGCAGAGTAGCATTGAAGCGGCAGATTTCGGAGACCAAGGTAATGTCAGCACAGAGTCCCACAAGCATGTGGCGCTGGAGTGCTGTATTCACACACACACACAGCAACAACACAGTCGCGCTGGCTCTTGGAGACAACCCAACTAGGGAGAACGACTCTGCAACAGCTACTGTTAATAATTATAACAAAAATAAATCAAAATCAACTCACGTTTTGGCACAAGGGGTATCAATAATGTATTTTTTTTTTAGAAATGA